GCATAAAATTTTAAAAAATTATCTCTGAACAATAAGGACTACTTTAAAAATTGTAAGTTGGATGTTTTTAAAAATTTTTTACAATTTTTTTGACTCATGGTTTAAATAAGATTCATACAGTTTCAAGTTTGTTTTAATCTAAAGATTCCCTTAAAAAATTGTCCTGGGAACCAGCAGTTAGCGTAATGGCTATGTCGCTGGACGCCCACGTAGTCGATTGCGGTTCACGTCCCGGACCCGGTGTCTTAAAACTCACGCTGGGCGCATGTGCGTGCATGCCCAAGATCCCGAGACGAGAATGGAGGAGAAGGGATTGCGGCGTGACCATCCCCCATGGGGGGTGATTTTTCGCTTTCTGTCTCTCTGTCTCTCTCTGTCTGTCTGGCGAGCACACGCGCCCTGTAGCGAAAATCTCTCCAAAAAAAAAAAATTATATCTTGATGTTTTGATTCACATTTCTTATGAATACCTTTGAAAGTGTTATTGTTGGCTCTAGCTGGTGGCATGGTCGTTAAGGAGATGGAATCCCACGTGGCCAACTACCATTCTAGTCCCTGACCTGGCAGCTTGAAAATTACACTGGGCATGTGCATGTATGCCCCAAATCCCAAGAGGAGAATGGAAGAGAAGGTGTTATGGTATGACCATCTCTATGGGAATGTTTCTTTCTGTCTCTCCAGTGAGCACACACACCCTATGGCAGAAACCTTTAAAATAAATTTTTTTTAATTTTAAATAAAAATTTAAAACACATACACATACACACCAGGCATGTGTATGTGCATGCACAAAATCCCAGGAAGAGAATGAAGGAAAAGAAATTGTGTAGTCATCCTCCCTTAATGGTGATTTTTTACTTTCCCCCTTATTCCAGCGACGTGCATACCTTATGGCAAAAATCTAAGAAAAACAGAAAGTATTATTTTTGCTCTGAAACTTACTTCTTCTGTTCCTTTTTTTTTTTTTTTTTTTGGAGAGGTTTTTTCGCTATAGGGCGCATGCACTCGCCAGACAGAGACATAGAGACAGAAAGCGAGAAATCACCCCCCAGGGGGGATGGTCACGCCGCAATCCCTTCTCCTGCATTCTCCTCTCAGAATCTTGGACACGCGCCCAGCGTGAGTTTTAAGCTACCAGGTCCTGGACGCAAACCGCGGTTGTCTACATGGGAGTTCAGCGACATAGCCATTATACTAACTGCTAGTTCCCACTTCTTCTGTTCTTTATATCATTTCTTCTAAATTCCCTCTTTGTCTTTTATTTAATTTTACATCCAGTGCTTTCTTCTGAGTTCAGATTTTTCTTTTAGGATAATATCCTTTTAGTAGTTCCTTCAGGAACTGTTCATTAGTGGTAAACTTTAAGATAGATATATCTATCTATATATATATAGAGATATATAGATATATCTTAAATGTAATATATATATTTATATTTTAAAATATTTTTAATATTTATATCAAAGCCCTCTAATATTTTACTTATGCTTTAGCACACTACAGAATTATATGTTGATATTGTTTCCTTTTAATATTTGGAAGGTATTAGTGAGTTGTCTTCTGGCCTTTATCTTTGTAGGCGAGAAATCTGTGGTGAATATAACTGATATTCCATTGTAGATCATTAATTTTTTATTGATTTTAATTAATTTTGATAATTTTTGACTGTCTGTGGCAAATATATTTGACTTTCCATTATAGATCATTTTTGTTCCAGTAACCTTAAGGTTTTACCCATTCTCTCTCTCTCTCTCTCTCTCTCTCTCTCTCTCTTTTTTTTTTAAAGATTTTTGTTGTAGGGTGCATGCACTCACTGGAGAGACAGCAAGAAATAACCCAGAGGGATGGCCAGGCTGCAGTCCCTTCTCCTCCATTCTTCTGTTGGAATTTTGGGCTTCCACGCATATGCATCCAGAATGAGTTTCAGGCCTTCAGATCCAGGACTCAAACTACAGTCTGCCATGTGGGAATCCGGCACCTCAATCAGTATGCCACCTGCAGGCCCCATCCATTATTTTAAATATTCTACTGTTTAGTTTCAGTGTAGCTGGTGGATTTTAAAAATTTATTCATCAGGGACTAGCACATGGCGTAATGGTTATGTCGCTCAATTTCTACATGGCTGACCATGGCTCGAGTCCCAGACCTGATGGATTGAAACTAACAGTGGATGCATGTGTATGCGTGCCCAAGATCCCAAGAGGAGAGTGGAGAAGAAGGGATTGCTGCATGGTCTTCCCCCAAGGGGGTGATTTCTTACTTTCTCTCTCTCTGTTTCTCCAGCGGGCAATCATGCCCTATAGCAAAAATCTCTTAAAAAAATAAAATTGGGGACCAGTAGATGTCATAATGGTTACGTTGCTGGACTCCCACATAGTAGACCATAGTCTGAGTTCTAGACCCAATGGCTGGACTGGATCTCAGGCTGGGTGCATATGCCCAAAAATCCCGAGGGGAGAATGGAGAAGAAAGGAGTGGGGCATGGCCATCCCCGGGGGATGATTTCTTGCTTTCAGTCTCTGGTGAGCACATGCACCTTATGGCAAAAATACCTCTCAAAAAAAAAATTATTCATCATGGCATGTGATATAAATGCTTTGAGATCAGGAACTTGTATACTTCTCAGTTTGGGATTAAAAAAAAGTGTATCTATAATAATATTGCTTCTTTCCTAGCCTGTCCTCTTTTGGAGTTCCTATTCGATATTGATATTTTTTCCTTTAAAGAATATTTATTTAATTGTATTTTTTATTATTATTTTTTAATTTGCTATAGAGCATTTGCACTCACCAGAGATAGAGAAATAGGAAACATCAATTAGCAAGCCACCAGGCCCAGAACTTGAACTGTAGTCAGCTAGGTGTGAATCCAGCACGTTAACCACCATGCCACCTGCTGGCCCCTGAGGTTGATCTTTTTTTTTTCTTTAGAATTATTTCATTTAACTTTATTTATTTATTTTAATTTGATCAGAGAGGGACAGAGTGAGCGAGAAAGAAAAAGTGAGAAAGCAAACCACCAGGTCCAGGACTCAAACCACGATCAGCCATGTGAGAGTCCAGCAACCTTAACCACCACATCACCTGCCAGTCCCCCTGATGTTGATCTTTAATCCGTCTGGAATTTGTGAATGTACAAGGTAGGATTCTTTTCTCAAACAGATGGTCATTTGACCTGATACTGTCTATTAAGTAGCTCTCCTTACCATTGATTTTTAGTGCCGCCTTTATGATGTGCCGTCTAGCTTTAGTAAGTCTATTCCCGTTTTGTTTTTTATTATTGCCCCACTGACATTCTGTTTAAGTTACTGTGGATTTATAATGCATTATGAAACCTAATAGGGCAAGATGTTACTTTCATGAGTATCTGAATTTCTCATTAACTTTCAGTTCTCCATGATACTTTTAAAAGTCATTTCATCCTGTTTCAGGAATTCTCTGTTCAATTCCCACAGTCAGTAATCCAGGTACTGCTTCCCGTTGTTTGGTTAAGTTGTTTAGTATTCCCCATCAGGGTAACGTTTCATAATTATTATAAGGAGAAAACATTTGGCACTGTAGCCCCACACGTCCAACCACAGTTTGAGTCCTGGACCTGGTGGCTTGCTTTCTCACTTTCCCCTCTCTCTCTTTCTCCCTCACTCTGCCCCTCTCTGGTAAAATTAAATAAAATAATAATTTTTTAAAGGTTCTTTTTGTGACCAGCAGGTGACTTAATGGTTGCGTTGCTGGACTATCACATAGCCAACCATTGTTTGAGTCCCAGACCCACCAGCTTGAAAGTCACGCTGGGCGCTTGTACATGCATATCCAAAATCCTGAGGGGAAAATGGAGAAGGGATGGCAGCATGGCCATTTCCCTAGGGGGTGATTTTTCGCTTTCTGTCTCACTGTGTCTCTCTAGCAAGCACACACACCCTATAGGAAAAAAATCTCTCAAAAAATGGAGACCTTTAGAAATATTAGTATGGGGCCAGCAGGTGGATGGATCCCACATGGTCAGCTGCTCAGTTTCAGGCCCGGGCCCAGGAGACTTGAAAAGCACCCCAGGTACACAATAGCTTGTGTACCTCTCACAAAATCCTGAAAGGCAAATGGAGGAAATGGTAGGTCCTTACTCCCAAAACTTGGAACTTAGATCATGCTTTTCCCTTTGATTCTTGGTCCCATTCAAGTTTCAGATAGACTAAATTTTCATAAGAAACTATGGACTTTGAGGTAGACAATTAAATTGAAGTTAATAAAATAAACTTTATTTCAAAGTCACATATGTACCTTTAAAAACTCCAGAAAAAGTCCCTATTAGAGTAGCAGCAAAATTATTGGTCCTATTCATCATAAGTGAGACTATTAAAGTAAACACCAATGTGGAGAAAAAATACATTGACCTGAAAGAGTTGCATTTAAAAAATTACCAGGAGAGCAGTTCTAGAGAAAGTAGGGGGAGGGGAGGATGACAATATTGTATGTCAATATAAATTGTGATAAAGATTTTAAGCTGGTGGGACCAGCAGTTAGCATAATGGCCATGTTGCTGGACTCCCATGTAGCCGACTGTGGTTCAAGTCCTGGACCCGGTGGCTTTAACTCATGCCAGGCGTGTGTGCGTGTGTGCCCAAGATCCTGAAAGGAGAATGGAGGAGAAGAGATTCCAGCGTGGCCATCCACCCTGGGGGATGATTTCTTGCTTTCTCTCTGTCTCTGTCTTTCTGGCAAGCGCACGTGCCCTATAGCAAAAACCTCTTCAAAAAAAAAAAAAAAAAAGATTTTAAGCTGGTTATATCTTGTTGAGATGTAGGAAGGAGGGTCTACAATATTATTTTCTCCTTGCCCCAGAGGGGCCCTGTTTCCACCTCTCTTTTACCTGAACTTGCCTTTTTGGCTGCAGGGAGGACATCTGGTGAAATACATCTTTTCCCTGGCTGGATCAGAGAAACAAGAAGAGAAACATCCTGATCTCTCTTACCTATTGTGCAGGCTTATGTCACTTTGGACATACAAGATGGCAGTCATCAACCTGTCCCTTCCATAGGCTCTGCACAGGACTCAGCTGTTTCTTATTGAGGCATACTAAGGAAAGAATAGCTGCTGCAATTGTGACAACGTGGTTACAGCAAGGAGTGACCTTCAAAGATGTGGCTGTGGAGTTCACCCAGGAGGAGTGGATGATGCTGGAAACTGTGCAGAAAAGTCTGTACAGAAATGTGATGTTGAAAAACTATAGACATTTCATTTCAGTGGAATATCAATTATGCAAGCCTATTGTGGTCTCACTGTTGGATCAAGAAAAGATAAGAACAGTGAAAAGGAGAATTCCTCAAGGCATCTGTCCAGACTGGAAGATTCAACTCAATACCAAAGAATCAACTAATATTTTTGGGAAGGAACAATCCAGTAGCATAAAAAGGGAAAGATTCACAAGGGATGATTGGTTCTCCACATGAAGGAATGAGTGGGAAGGCCATAAGATCAGAAAACACCACAAGATTCTGGAAGGGCATTTAAGGCAAGTGACATATACCCAAACACAGTATCTCAGGAGAGATTCTGTGACTATCATGAATTAGAGGAAAACTCTAAATTTAGTTTGAAACTTTTTTCAAAGAGAATTTCTACTAGTAATCATTGCCATAAAAATTACTTTGATACTGAATATTTGAAATTTACTTCAGTCCTAAACAATGATGAAAAAGTCTCTGTAAGTGAGAAGCTCTGTGAAAGTAATGAATATGATAGATCTCTGTGGAATCTAGAAAAACCTCAAAAAGCACAGAAAGAGTACACATATTCCAAACATGCCATACACTTCAACAATAACAATAAGCTTCCTATACATAACAATTTTTATGTTGTAGAGAATTCTTATGCATTTAATGAAAACCATTTTGTCATCCTTCATTTCATAAGCAACAAAAGCAAGCTCATACTGAAGAGAAGCAAGAATGTAATCAGTATGGCAAAGTATTTGAAAGGTTTTCTAATCTCACTTTGCATAACAAAAGTCACACAAGTGAGAAAGAATATGAATGTAAAGAATGTGGAAAAGTGTTCAGGGATTCCTCAACCTTAAGGAGACATTTAAGAACCCACACTGGAGAGAAACCTTATTAATGTAATCAGTGTGGAAAAGCTTTCAGTCAAAACACATCTCTCTTTTTTTCTTTTTTTCTTTTTTTTTTTGGAGAGGTTTTTTTGTATAGGGCACGTGCACTCGCCAGACAGAGAGAGACAGAAAGCTAGAAATCACCCCCGGGGGGATGGCCATGCCGCAATCCCCTCTCCTTCATTCTCCGCTCAGATCTTGGGCACGCATGCACACGTGCCCAGCGTGAGTTTAAGCCACCAGGACTGGGACTCGAACCGCGGTCAACTAAGTGGGAGTCCAGTGACATAGCCATTACGCCAACTGCTGGTCCCCAAAAACACATCTCTTAAGGCTCATGTGAGAATTCACACTGGAGAGAAAGCTTACAAATGCAGTCAATGTGGAAAATGGTTTGGCACGAGTTCTTACCTTTTAGTCCACAAGAGAATACACACTGGGGAGAAACTGTATAAATGTAGTGACTGTGGAAAAGCCTTCAACACAAGCTCTCATCTTAGGGGTCATAAAAAAATACACACTGGAGAGAATCTTTATGAATGCAGTGACTGTGCGAAAGTTTTTAGTGGTCTCTCTTCCCTTAGAATGCAGGTGAGAACTCACTGGAGAGAAACCTTATATGAATGTAAGGAACATAGGAAAGACTTCAACGTTTCCTCTTCCCTTAGGAGACATGTGAGCTTCCACACTGGAGAGAAACCCTATGAATGTATCCAATGTGGAAAAACCTTTCATCAGAGCTCTTCACTTATACAAAAGAGAATTTATAGAAAGAAACTGTTACTGTTAAAAATGTGAAATAGTCTTTTTCATTGTTCAAAGGTAGATGCCAAGTTCATGATTCCAGTCTTTATCCTCTAAAGTATTTTAGACTGTAAATGGTTTTCAAAATATCCCTTTAGCTATGTATAACACATTGCATTCTATGTTTTACTTGTAAATACTGTCTAGGACTTTTTTTCATCCCTGGCTATTTAAAATTATGTAATTTAAATATTTGTTATTGTGAAGATTTTCAGTTACCCTTAATTGTTTTTATTTTCTAAACTAATCAACCTGTATTCAGAGTATCTTGATATATATGATACTATCTGGTATTTCCTTGAGAACTGCCTTCTGTCCAGTAAGACAGATGTTGCCTGTAGATATTGCCAACCTAATATCCAACTCATCTTTCCTTACTAATGAGGACAGATGTCTGGTTGGCTGGTTATTAATTAATTTATTTATTTTTATCTTTTTTAAAGGGCCTGGAGAGAGTCATGCCCACAAACAGTAACAGACCATTTTTTCCATTAACAGAATTTTTCTACTTCCTATCCATGCCATAGTATCTTTGAAATGTATGTTAAGCCACTGACAGTATATTGTTTTGCTTGTCTCTTCCCAAGACACAGATCTTCCCTTTCAATGAACAACCTAAAATTGTAGAACCAATCTAAGCCCTTTCCCACTTCCATTATGTCCTGCTGTTTTGGACCAGACCAGTAGAAAGCTCTTCACTAAATTTTAAACTTTGTCTCTCACTTTCAAAATTAAATTTAAAGGGGCTGGCAGGTGGCATGGTGGTTAAGGGCACTGGACTCCCACATGACCAATTGTGGTTTGCATCCAGGACCTGATGGTTTTCTTTCTTTCTCTCTCTCTGTCTCTCTCTCTCTCTTTCTCTCTTCCCCTTCTTCTCTCCCCCTCCCTCTCTCCCTCTCCCCCTCTCCCTCTCTGGTCAAATTAAAAGTAAATAAGGTTTAATAAAGTAATTTTTTTAAATAGAATTTTAAAGATACCTGTACCTGATCACCCTGAGAAAGGCATGTTTTGCCTCTTCTCTGGCCCTAGGTCACTCAAATTCATGCTTAAAAATAAAATAAAATGCATTAATTATTATCTTTCCAGAGTTGATTATATCCATAGACAATAATGGTACCCAAAGTGTTCAGGGATTCCTCAACCTTAAGGAGACATTTAAGAACCCACACTGGAGAGAAACCTTATTAATGTAATCAGTGTGGAAAAGCTTTCAGTCAAAACACATCTCTCTTTTTTTCTTTTTTTCTTTTTTTTTTTGGAGAGGTTTTTTTGTATAGGGCACGTGCACTCGCCAGACAGAGAGAGACAGAAAGCTAGAAATCACCCCCGGGGGGATGGCCATGCCGCAATCCCCTCTCCTTCATTCTCCTCTCAGATCTTGGGCACGCATGCACACGTGCCCAGCGTGAGTTTAAGCCACCAGGACTGGGACTCGAACCGCGGTCAACTAAGTGGGAGTCCAGTGACATAGCCATTACGCCAACTGCTGGTCCCCAAAAACACATCTCTTAAGGCTCATGTGAGAATTCACACTGGAGAGAAAGCTTACAAATGCAGTCAATGTGGAAAATGGTTTGGCACGAGTTCTTACCTTTTAGTCCACAAGAGAATACACACTGGGGAGAAACTGTATAAATGTAGTGACTGTGGAAAAGCCTTCAACACAAGCTCTCATCTTAGGGGTCATAAAAAAATACACACTGGAGAGAATCTTTATGAATGCAGTGACTGTGCGAAAGTTTTTAGTGGTCTCTCTTCCCTTAGAATGCAGGTGAGAACTCACTGGAGAGAAACCTTATATGAATGTAAGGAACATAGGAAAGACTTCAACGTTTCCTCTTCCCTTAGGAGACATGTGAGCTTCCACACTGGAGAGAAACCCTATGAATGTATCCAATGTGGAAAAACCTTTCATCAGAGCTCTTCACTTATACAAAAGAGAATTTATAGAAAGAAACTGTTACTGTTAAAAATGTGAAATAGTCTTTTTCATTGTTCAAAGGTAGATGCCAAGTTCATGATTCCAGTCTTTATCCTCTAAAGTATTTTAGACTGTAAATGGTTTTCAAAATATCCCTTTAGCTATGTATAACACATTGCATTCTATGTTTTACTTGTAAATACTGTCTAGGACTTTTTTTCATCCATGGCTATTTAAAATTATGTAATTTAAATATTTGTTATTGTGAAGATTTTCAGTTACCCTTAATTGTTTTTATTTTCTAAACTAATCAACCTGTATTCAGAGTATCTTGATATATATGATACTATCTGGTATTTCCTTGAGAACTGCCTTCTGTCCAGTAAGACAGATGTTGCCTGTAGATATTGCCAACCTAATATCCAACTCATCTTTCCTTACTAATGAGGACAGATGTCTGGTTGGCTGGTTATTAATTAATTTATTTATTTTTATCTTTTTTAAAGGGCCTGGAGAGAGTCATGCCCACAAACAGTAACAGACCATTTTTTCCATTAACAGAATTTTTCTACTTCCTATCCATGCCATAGTATCTTTGAAATGTATGTTAAGCCACTGACAGTATATTGTTTTGCTTGTCTCTTCCCAAGACACAGATCTTCCCTTTCAATGAACAACCTAAAATTGTAGAACCAATCTAAGCCCTTTCCCACTTCCATTATGTCCTGCTGTTTTGGACCAGACCAGTAGAAAGCTCTTCACTAAATTTTAAACTTTGTCTCTCACTTTCAAAATTAAATTTAAAGGGGCTGGCAGGTGGCATGGTGGTTAAGGGCACTGGACTCCCACATGACCAATTGTGGTTTGCATCCAGGACCTGATGGTTTTCTTTCTTTCTCTCTCTCTGTCTCTCTCTCTCTCTTTCTCTCTTCCCCTTCTTCTCTCCCCCTCCCTCTCTCCCTCTCCCCCTCTCCCTCTCTGGTCAAATTAAAAGTAAATAAGGTTTAATAAAGTAATTTTTTTAAATAGAATTTTAAAGATACCTGTACCTGATCACCCTGAGAAAGGCATGTTTTGCCTCTTCTCTGGCCCTAGGTCACTCAAATTCATGCTTAAAAATAAAATAAAATGCATTAATTATTATCTTTCCAGAGTTGATTATATCCATAGACAATAATGGTACCCACAAAGTGACCAGAAAAATAAGCCACTTTAATTATTATTTGTGCAGAGTTAGTTCCATTGACACTTACTAACCCTTTTTTGGTTCAGACCACCAATGTGTCTAGTTAAAAAACGTTTCTCGATCTTACAGGTAAGAGTAGCCATATCACTCATTCCCAACAACAGCAAAAAAATAGACTAATGTTGCTGAGAACAGAAATGAATGTACTATTCCTGGAGCTCATGGAGCCATCTTGTGATCATGGAAATGATAGCCATGGCTTAAGGAAGTGTAGAAAAAAGAGATTGGGAATCCCCAAAGATACCTATAAATAATCGTGCCAACCTTGCACTGCTTATATATAGATATATTTTTGTGTGGGAAAAAGATAAAATTTACTTCTGTCATGGGAAAGAATCACAACCCGCATGTTCAGATTGACCAGGAGTCCCCTGTGCCACCATGGCTGGACCTTGATGACTTTTAAGAATCACTACATAGTCAAAACGATCGCTTGATTTTTTAAGGGATGACCACAGAGGTATGTAGTTACATATTTTATACTGGCTGTACACACTTGAAAAAGAATACAGAGAAGGGGTATAAGAGGACTGTTGAGAGAACTTCTGTGCTTGAGCAGATTAGTGGATAACCCAGGAGTTATGCATTTTGTGAAATTAAGATTGAATAGTGGAGGGACCAGCAGGTGGTTAAGGTGCTGGACACACCCACATGGCCAACCAGGATTCGCGTCCTGGACCTGGTGGCTTCCTTTCTCATTTTCCCTCTCTCTCTCACTCTGCGTCTCTCTCTCTGGTCAAATTTAAAGTAAATGAATAAATAATTTTTTTTTAAAAGATTGAATAGTGGAGGGAACCAGCAGTTAGCGTAATGGCTATGTCGCTGGACTCCCACGTAGTCGACCACGGTTCGCATCCCGGACCCGGTGGCTTAAAACTCACGCCGGGCACGTGTGCGTGTGTGCCCAAGATCCCGAGAGGAGAATGGAGGAGAAGGGATTGCGGCGTGACCATCCCCCCTGTGGGGTGATTTATCAATGTCACTCTGTCTCTTTCTCTCTCTGGTGAGCACATGCGCCGTATAGCAAAAACCTCTCCAAAAAAAAAGAAAGAAAGAAAAGTGAACATATAATAAGTATATGAAGACTAGTTGTGACCTTAGAAATAAAGTAATGGCTCATTGAAGATGGGTGCTAGTTTGGAATGAGTTTAGGAAGCAATAAAAGGTGAGTAAATAGACTATAGACCAACTTGAATAGCAAGAGAAAGATGGTGTAGTATTTGAAGAGAGATTTGGAAGGGAAGTGTTTTGTAAATGTGAGAAACTAGAATATGTTTAAATTCTAATGTGCTGCATGTGGTATAGAGTGGTAAAATATGAAGACATAAGAATCATTATTAGCATAACAACCTTGAGAGGAATAGCCCAAAACATGATTGTTCAGGTGGTTGGATACTGTTGCGGGAAAACAGATGCCAAGGAAGGAAACAGCACTCTAGAGAGGAAAAAGGAGAGCTCTTGATCCACTAGCAGGGCACGGAGGAGTTAACACTCTGGATCTCTGGCCCCCTGTGGGGCTTAAGCACAGCCTTTTATGGGTGAATTGGGGAGCAGTGATTTCAGCATGCTTGGAGTATCTGCCCTAACAGAGCTGGCAGAGAGGCAGGGAATCAAGACCACCGAACAGCTTAGGGGAGGGGCAGCTAACTTGCAGGGGACCAGAAATCCTAGGCAGCTATCAGCCCTGGACACTTCAATGCCACTCACAAGTTTCTATCAGAACAGAAAGTTCAGGTAATTATCAGACTTGAGTTGCTCCACATCAATGCCACATGACCAACTGCATGGGCTCAGGCCTAGACTCCACAGCTTGAGAAACTTCCC